AAGTCAGAAAAGCAGGTCAGAGATGGCGGACGCCGTAGTGAAGAACGAATGTATTGTATCAATTGACACTGATCAACCATCATATTAAAAAAATAGGAATCAAATAAAGAATAAGTTACGTTTCCATCTCATTTATGTTTCTCCTTTATTGAGATTGTGATTATAATCATTTTATGTTATCATTATTACTATAATTATGAGTTTATTTGTCATCATTATGATAATTAGTATTTTTGTTGTCATCTTTACCATTTTGTAGAATGCCCAAATATAACTTTTAATAACTCTTGGTACATAATTTCTGTGGATGGATGGTCCTGGCAGTGGAGCAGATACAACTGCCAAAGTCAAGGAGGGGAACTAGTTTCCTTTGAAACCGAAGAGGAATGGAATTTCATTAATGACGAGATTCAAAGGCGAAATACTACGAACTATATAAATAAATGGAGTATTGGTTTAGCAAAAAAGGCCGGAAAATGGACCTGGGTGAGTGGAAGACAACTGACTATTTGCAAATGGGGAAAAGGGGAGCCAGGAGGTGAACACCGCGCGGCTTTCATGTATAAGCGGTCTAGTAATGGCAAACGAGGCGTGTTCGGTAGTGTTCATGATAAATGGAAGGGAAACAAGTACGCTTATATTTGTGAGATTTCCAAGGGTGAGTTGATTTTTTTGTCGTTGTTGTTGTTTTAAATGTTATTTCAATTAACTTAAAAAGCGCCAGAAGTGCTTAAGCGTAATAAAAACATTCTTTGCTAAAGTTTGTGACGTACAAGACAGAATTTGTATAAACCTTCTGACAATCAGGATCAAGTTTACTCTTAAATTTACATAAATGAAAAGATGTTTGAAACAATCTCAGAGAAAGTTTTTATTAAATACATGTCTAACGTTTAACCATGTGAGTAGAGGGAAGTTACATATGGTTCTGTTACTATCACTATTACGAGTAACAACAGTTGTGACACTTTAAGGCATCAGTTATTTTCATGTAACGGTAGTTCATTTATTTCCATTTCATTTTTTTTACTTCCACTTGAATAAAATGATGGTGAATACCAATCGCAAAGAATTATTAGTCCGATTGCTTTGTTAGATAATAACGCATGATGATGTGAAGTGCGTTATCTTTTGTGAAGAGCTTGTGACTCATGTCGGTTAAGATACATGCCAATTATCACGTTATAAAATGAATGCAAAAGACTTGTAGATGTTCTTCGCATTGGGGAATAAATTTTATGGTTATTGTATTCTATTTTAATACCCGATCGTTTTGAACTGTAAATTTGTGGGGGCTCATTTCAATGCAACGCAAAATGTGCAGTGAACGTAATAAACTGACCATTCTGCATCTAATCGAAATATATCGGACATTTCGGTCGAATTAGCAACGAGCACTCTTTAGCGAGGGTTACCTCAGTTTTCATACGTCACCAGAAGGTGTAGATACATTTTCTTGAGTTGGAATTTAATTGATGTAATTGTAGGTCATGATCAGGATTGGGTATGCTTGAGCGTTATCTTCATAATATGACAGAAGTAAGTTATTTAGCGTATGCGTTGTGAGAGAAGGAGCAGATAAAACGCCTTTGAACTTAAAAGTGAAACAAAAAGTTAAATGCAAACCTTTCACATCCCGATATAGAAATCTTGACCTTAATCGACGAGACTCTTGCAAAGTCCAAAAACCGTTGCACTTATTAAATGAGTCCAATATTTCTGGGTAATGTCATTTTGTGCACGGCCTCCTGATTGCATAAAATCATGTACGAGAAAAGAATTCCCAAACGCTGTGATTGGTGCAAGATATCAAAATGCTACGATGTAATTGGTGTCAGATACATACCCTAACGCGGCAATCTGGCTGTAGTGAGATACATACCAAAAAAGCGACAATCCAATTGCTGCAAAGTACAAACCTTTGTGCGGCGATCTGATTGGTGCGAGCAACATACCACTCTACACGCAAACATAGTTATTTTCTATGACAAAAATTACCAAAAAATCATTATTTCCGGTGCAGGCGCAAAGCAGCGCTTATCTTGAATAGCAGTGCTTCTCAGAACAGAAGAATTTTATTACTTTTTGGAATAATTAATTCTTATGTATTGCAATTGTTATATTTTTTCAGCAAATCCAGCTCCTGGACGGAACTTTTCGCAGGACTCTTACCCAGACTACGTTGGACCACCTTGCACGCAACAATATGGTAAGAAGAGTTGGTCACTATAATGTATTTGTGATAGAAAAACACCGTTTTTGCACGAAAACTTGAAGGCTAGAGTCATGTTTTCACTTACTTTTCACTAAAGTTGTTATAGTTCCTGTACGATTCAAGTTTCGCCTTGCGTTATGCGTTTATTTTTGCTTGAAAGAAAACATGAAACCGGCTTTGGTAAAACTAAAAACTGTAAATTTTAATTCACGCGAAGAAATTTTTACTGGATATTACATCAGGAGATCAGATAGATGCAAGCTTTCAAGTAGATGTCTCGGAAAACACACATTTCAAGGCCTGGATTAGGAACCTCCCAATCATTTTCTCTCGCAATGCCTTAATTAACAAATTCGTCAAATTATTCAAATAAAAGCGCTGAATTAAACTTTAAAACCTTCCCAGCATGAGGTTAAGGTTAAACCAAAAATCCCAAAAAGATCCGTAAATTCATTGGAAACAGCTCAAGATAAAATAAGAAATGAAAACGTCATACTTAGTGGTTTAACAATAAATACGCGCGAATATTTTGTTATTTGCGTGGCATTTTTCAAGCCTCGTGGGCGCAGGTTGAAATGCCAAAAACTGGGCAAAATAAGTACCCCTATTGTTTGTTAAACCAGTAATGCAGGGATGTTTTATTGAACTATTATTTCATTTACTAGTATTTTCGAAAAACATCCTACAGCCCTATCTGATCATCGATCATACAAGACGTATGCGACAGACGAAAATAATGCATAAGAAACAATAAGAGTGTTCTGCATGAGCAATAAAAAGCTTGAGTGCATTTAAGAGTTTTGATCGTTCATTGCGGCCATTTTGTTACTCGGCTTTCCGTCCGCATTTTTGCCCTTACAGTGTAATACTAAGGCAATTGTTTTGTATGATGTGGTCTTGATTAACATTTTTCTTTAAAGATTCATCATCGCCATCGCCATCGCCATCGCCATCGCCATCGCCATCGCCATCGCCATCGCCATCGCCATCGCCATCGCCATCGCCATCGCCATCGCCATCGCCATCGCCATCGCCATCGCCATCGCCATCGCCATCGCCATCGCCATCGCCATCGCCATCGCCATCGCCATCGCCATCGCCATCGCCATCGCCATCGCCATCGCCATCGCCATCGCCATCGCCATCGCCATCGCCCTCGCCATCGCCATCGCCATCGCCATTGCCATCGCCATCGCCATCGCCATCGCCATCGCCATCGCCATCGCCATCGCCATCCCCATCGCCATCGCCATCGCCATCGCCATCGCCATCCCCATCGCCATCACCATCGCCATCCCCATCGCCGTGCCCATCACCGTCCCCATCGCCGTCCCCACCGCCGTCCCCATCGCCGTCCCCATCGCAGTCCCCATCGCCGTCCCCATCGCCATACCCATCGCCATCGCTAGCTCAGCAGCTAGTATGTTTTCTAAATAGTAATTTACCGTTTTTATGCATGTCGCTTTTCAGGATCTTCTCCGCTTACAAATGTGACAGACATTAATTTTCATTCCAGGCAAATGAGTATATTTCAAGATTTGGCGGAATAAATATTACCGAAACGACTTCCATACAAGTATGTAATTTTCATAACTTAAAGGCGTTTTTACCTTGATATATGTTTTTAAACGATAAAAAGTAAGTATCTGACCTTTAAGTAGAAACCACCATTAAGCCATATGAGAGAAAATGATGAGGCTTAAAATATAATCCAGGCTCCTAAAAGAGTTCTTTAGCCAATGAATACCCTGGACAAGGGGCCTCCAGCTAGACTTTTTCCGCGTTCTTAATATTTATTGTACATTTGAGACTGGCTGGTTAATGACCTGGAAATATTTTATGTAATTGTAGGAGGCTGTAACTGTGTTTGAAGATTTCACCTTCAGAATCAAGAACGTCACAAAAAACAAGGCCGATATAGAAGAGGTTAAAACTCTGAGAAAATCCATCTTTAAGGTGGCAGAGGCCGTCGAGAAATTTGCTCTTAATTATAGCAAACGACACCTGAGTGGAATGAAACCTCCAAAAAGGATCGTTTCTTCAAAAATGGGTGAGCTTGCGGCCTTGAATCCTGTTTATTTCCAAAGTCTATTCCTCTGTTACTTACAGACTTGCTGTCTGACCGACTGGGTTGTCTAATTTCCTAGATATTGGAAGAACTCACGTAGAACCCAACTATTTAGAAACGTTATTGTTGATGTCATCGCTTCATCTGTTCTTTTAATTTGTTTGATACTTTGATTTTTCGCGATGGAGAAGGTACTAAAAGTAGTTCTTGAACAATCAACAAGAGAAAAAAAGAATCCTTCAAAATTGTAAAACCCTTAGTCTTGCTCTGTTTATAGAAACTTTTCTTGAATAACAGATTAGTGAGTAACACTTTACTAACTGAAACTGTCAAATCCTACAAATACTCTCCGCTTACTTCATACTATACACTGAGCTCAAAGTTGGCCGATCGTCTGCGATGCATATAAATGCAATATTTTTAACCGGACTCTTAAAAACTCCCTAAAGACCTCTATAGTTCTCCAGGAACGAATTGAGTTTTGAAAATGTTTAGTCCGTCTAGTACTACTCGCTTTCTCATCAGTTTAAATTGAAAAAACGTTGTAAAATGTTTAAAATCGTCGAGTAGTCGTTGAAGGCAAATAAGATACAAAAAATACACGTCCATCCAATAAGATTATAAAATATTTGTGTACAGCACAAAACGCATGTTTGTGTAGATGTGCAAGATATCAATTTCAACGTAGGTGCTTTCATTTGTTACTTTTTTTCAACAGTTTTGGCCATTCAAAAAGCCTATCGCCGGAATGCAGGTGGCGTCCACTTTGAGGAACAACAATGGCGAGCGAGAATCGATATCGCTTCTCCAAATTTTGAGGAAAATGGTTTGTGGTAACTTTACAACTTTTAGCATTACTTTGGTTTTTCTCCAATCGAAATTTCTGAATTGAAATAAAGCCTCAGGTAAATGGGCTTCCTTAGTTTACATAGTCTATCTTTTTATTCATTCACACACCTCAGAGCCTGTAAAAATTTCAACTTTGTGGTTTTTTGCAAATGTTGTTGTGTGATTTACTTTTTCTGTTGATTCTTGGGGGTTTTAAGGAACACTGCTAGTTGTGTTTGTGTACAAGGATCTACATGACCTACTTCTGACAGATCAAGCCATCAGGAGTGAAACAGACAACCAAAGGTGACGTTATTTTCATATTACTCCATGTCGTTTACCCCCAAAGACACATAACACGGAAACACATAAGATCTATGTTCAGCTAAACTGAATTTAGAAACTTTCCAATCACCCTAACTGAGGTTGGAAGACTCCTTGCTTGTCTCTGGCCGTTCCACCTTCATGAAAAATTGGCTTGAATCTACCAAAAGTAAGTAATTTTTCTTCCTTGTTTCTGATCCATATCCGAATACAATTTCTTCATAGGTATGTCAATTCCAGGATTATGGCCGTTACTATGGACCCCAAGCCAGAGACATTGCGAGCAAATGTCATCCTAAAGTTCAAAAACCTAAAGGTAACATGACAATTCGTTGCTATGCATTTTTTAAAATTTATTCTGACAAGATAAAATCCATTTTCAGGTTTCGACATCAGAGAAGCGCTGTATGTTTTGGAATGGCCTCAGCAAAAGGTAAAAAGACTTAAATATATTAATGTATAGTATTCATTCCTTTACATTTATTGTTGTATAGTATTCATAGCGAAGATTAAGGCTTTTCCTGTAACACAGCATGTTGTGGTTTTTATAGAGGGGAAGTCTGATTGAAATGTTCTCGCAACTAAGATTCTAATGGAAGAAAAACTTAGCGGAAAATTGTCAAACATCACCTCTTCCCCAAACTCTTTGTTAACTTTACTTTTTTTTTTCATGTCTAACAGCTTTGCAGAAAAAGGATGCCATATAGTTGCATCAAAAAGCAACTCAGAAGAAACAGTTTGCAGCTGCAATCATTTGACGCATTTTGCCGTCTTAATGGACTACGACGGCAGCACAAAGGTAATAAAGTTATTTTTGCCTTACTTAGTAATTTTTATGGGCTCAGTTTACTAACTCGATGCTGTCGTTTAATTTTTCTTTTTTGGACACAGCTCACCGAGGAGGACAAAACAATTCTGAAAATTATCACCTACGTGGGACTGAGCCTTTCCATCGTCGGGATACTTTTAACATTAATACTTTATTCTTGCCTCACGTAAGTGATGTACTTGAATAATAATGAGGTAGATTCTTAACTCTTCTCAACAAGGCTGGTAAGAAAAGAGATTTCAATGCCAATCTCCATGCAAACAAGAACAGTTATGTCGGATAATTCAAAAACTCAAGCTACATGCCCCCACGTTTGACCAACTCATGCCTTCAATGTGTTGATGTTGTTGTCGTTGTTGCTTTTGTATAATTCATTATTTCTTTTTTTTTTTACGATTATTTCATTAGAGATGTTTGTCAACCTCTCTCTCAAATTCGACTGAGTGTTTCTGTGTCACTTGGAGCTGGACAGATCATCTTCCTCGCCGGAATAAACGCCACAGAAAACAAAGTCAGTGGCCTCTTCTTCTGTCTATAGAATGAGTTTACTCTTTGCACCGTAAATATCTTGTCGAAAGGATCACGGTAAGAAGTATACGAAAACTTTTTCTTTTCACAGGCTGCCTGTGTTACAGTAGCAGTTCTGATGCAGTATTTCTTCATGGCCGCTTTCTGTTGGATGCTGATCGAGGGAATTTATCTCTACTTCTTCGTTGTGAAAGTTTACAACATTAACACCAAGATGTACATGTATCATGTCATCTCATGGGGTGAGTTTTGTATTTTAAAACATGCACTGGTAACTGTAACCATGCTTTCGGATCGCTAAATCTGGTGTTGTTATGCCGTAAAGTGTTCGATTTCCTTCCTCTCTTTATGGGTAGGTCTTCCAGTGATCATGGTGGCAACTTCACTTGGCATCGCTGCTGGAAAAGAAGGGTTACAAAGCTATACGAGTGATAAATAGTAAGAAAAAAATCGACGGTTTGTTCTTGCTCTTCTCCTTTTAATTCGTGGCAAATAATTCTTTGTTTTGTTTTTGCATATAGTTTGAAATCGGTATCATTTCATTTGCTGAGGTGTGTCATTTGCAGATTTGTGTGTCTTTCTTGTGTCTCATTTCTTCGAGTTTAGTTGCTGGCTTTCCTCGACTAACAACCTGATCTGGATATTCGTCGCCTTCGTGGCTTTCATTGAAGTTGTGAGTTTATGATTTGTGTTGGTGATTGTGATTGGTATACCTGGACTACTTGCTGCTAGGCATTTTTTTCTCTGCTCTTTAAAAAACGAATAAAATACTTATGACATCACCCCACACAATATTTACCATTTTCCTTTTCCTATTTACTCATAACAAACTCTGGACATAAGTGCTGTTTACGAGGATGCTGGTCAATTTTAACTTAGTGATGGCCTTCAATAGCGAGAAAAACCACTTGAGACAAGCAAAAGATAGCTTCATAAACTCTCCAACTTTTATTACATAGTATGAGAAAAAAGATCCTTGCCCTTCCTTGTTGATGTTTTCTCACTGTTTCGCATTGATATACCAAGATATGTTTTCGAGCAAAAATAACTCTTGAAAAACATTGATCAAGATGAGAGGAGCAGGAAGACTAGGAGATATCAAATTTATGTAATTTAACATAAGGATTCACTTTGCATCTTTCACTCAGTTCAGACACTTTAGTTCGCGATTTCTTTAGCTCATTGTCAGAGAATCGAAGCTCATAATCTAGGTCCCTCGGTTGGAAGTTCTATTCCCTGTAAATGACTCTTCATCTCACGCTTATTACCAAGCTAGTAACGTCTTTGGCAAGGATCCTCTCCTACTTTAGCTATGCGATAACCATATCTAAATAATCAATTTATTTCTATTGTATTCTTCAGCTCAACATCATGATACTCGCACGAGTCATAAAGGAGATGACCAATTTGTTGCAGCCAATGGGGGAAGACGACCATTCTCAGCAAATACGGTAACATTCCCAACATAAAACTAAAGCAATATAGTGGAAGAGGTTGCCTTGTCCTCCTGTGAGGCTTTATTTGCCTAACCTCCTCATTGTTTAATCAGTAAGGCCTTACGATGTCTAAAAAATGAAAATTTATCGTCAAAGGAAAATAAAGGAATGTTTTCTTTTTAACTCTTAGAATTGGCATCAAAACATGCGTGGTGATGATTCCCCTGCTGGGCGTCACGTGGCTATTCGGTCTCCTCTCGCCTGTACATAAAGCTTTCGTTTACATCTTCACCATACTTAACTCTGCTCAGGTCAGTGCTCGATGGTAATTGTCAAAAATCATTCGATCTCTATCCTTATTTTACTTTATAACCAAGTGAGACACCCTTACAATGGTCACATCATATTTATTGGAATTTTGCAAACAAAAATGCCGTTAACTATGCAAGAGAAGACAGACTTCTCTTTTAATTATAAGATATGCAATTTTCTCTCGTTCTTGTAAATCTTAATAGATATTTGACTAATTTGTTTGCATATTGTAAAGTTCAATGATCTTGAAATCATTTTTATGCTGCAGGGTTTCCTGATTTTCGTTCTTCACTGCATGCGAAACACCCAGGTAAGATATCAAACTGATTGTTAACTGCATATCATCAATTTTTAGTGTTTCGATGGATATCCGAGTACTTGAGCAAAGAACCGTATTTCGTGTTGTTCGTCTATCTGCAGATCAGAGAGCGTCTCAAAAGAAAGAGGAATATGGTTTTTTCATCTTCTATAGAGAACAACTCCACAAGGAAGAGCTCACAGGTCAATCCGAGTGAGGTTGGGGATGTATGGGCAGTTGAATTGCAATCCTGTGCTGAGTTTGAATAGAATTCGCACTTAACTTAAACAACTAGATCCAGCCAGCAGGAAGTGACGGTCAATTACTTAGTATAATCACTTAGTTAACAGCAGTAAGTCGGTTACGATCGATCTGATTTGCGATCTGCGGCTAAAAGAGGTCTTTCTTTTCATTAGTTTTTAAGCACTCAATTAGCTGTAATTGTAAACTATCTTCTTTATGATTATAAGTTTATTTTCTAGAAGATCGTATAGTTGTAGGCAAGATTCATCGAAATAAACCAATCTATAAATCTGAATTTCTAATGGCTCAGTATGTTGATGATTGCCCTGCGAATAAGACCACAGTCTTCTACAGACGAAGCGGGAATTTATACCAGGAAATCACGACTCTTTTCTCTTTAAAAAGCACTCTAGTACGCAGCTTTAATTTAATGTATTCAAATTTTGATTCTTGCGTGCTAATTTTCTACGCTTACTGCATGATTGTTTTTGTAGTGGATGTTTCACATACTGAGTTTACAAACTTCTCTTTAAACACTGTCATTACTTTTAACAATGAGCTTTGGATAATAACTGAGACTATAGGTTTCTAAAAAATTCTAGAATGCCTTGTCATGCTGAATGCTTTCTAGAGCATTTTATTAGGTTACGTAGTTATGATGTAACACTACCATTATAGTTGTGTTGTAAGCATCCGGAATTCTCTGGAATACTCTGTACATAAGGACACAGTCGTGCAGCAGTAGTACTTGTTGTTGTCAGGAGTGATTGAAATTTCGGAAAGCTATGCCGAAAGAGAGCTAGTGTGAAAGATTGTTAATTTAGAGGAACATTGGAGACAACTTCGAGATTGTGTTGGTGGCAGGCTAAGACATAGTTTGTAGTGGGCTTTAATAAGTTTATTAAGGACAAATATACTTCCTTTTGGAACCGCTCCTTATTAAGAATATTACAAGTTTAATAAAATAGTTGTGTTTGCTTGAAAATAGTGTTCTTTCCGTCGGTTAAATTGTACCGTAAGAAATAATACTAATAGTAGTAGCAGCTAAAGCTGACATTCAAATTTGTTGCTTGATGAATAAATAGCTAGGTGAATACGAAGATGTTTAAATAAATAAATCACTAATTTAAAAAGAACAGAAAAACCCGTCATGACTGGATCTTTTGTGGATCAGTTACATTTACTCATTTTTTTCGCATTCACAAGATAAGGAGTTAATTAAATTGGAATCAAATTGGGGCAATGATAGGCGGAAATGGCATAAAGAGAGATTAAAAACTATTCGGCACACACAATATTAAACAGCGATTAAAGAACTTTTACGCAGAGTATACAATTTAAAGTAAAAAGCTCAGCGATTGAAATGCGGAATATTTCCGTGGGCCTGGTTTTCAAATATCACAGACAAGTGTCCCTGCTCGTGGTATTTTGGACAATTTTGAAATATTACTAGTGGTATTATTTCAAATATCACTAAAAGTCGTGTCATTACGTATACTAATGAAGTGACCTATCGCACTTGCCGCAATTTGTAATAAACTTGGTAGAGGTGTTCGAAGGGCAAGTAGACCTCTTTCCCATTTTTCATAAACATATCTCGTTTTTCCGGCTGGGCAGTATTTTGAGGCAAACACGTCGGTCACCACCTCAAGCCGATAAATAAATTATGAATCCTCTCTTTTCTGTCTCTCAAATAACTTTGGTTGAAAGAAAAATATTGGTTTCAGAATGAATTTGTATAAACAATAGTGTAATTGCCTAAAAACCGTCTGCAATTAATTTCAATCGTTCACAAAAAAGTACTTAGAAGGTTAAAACGTGAGGTATTTGGTTACAGTTAAACTGAACGATGGAACTTTCATTCATTTAATATCTAAATTTTCTCAAACAATTTGCTCGTAATGACAGAGCGAGCGAAGTTTTAGTTTCAGTTCCACAACAAATATACGTTCTCGGTGAGTCTTTCCAAGTCCGTTTAATTTGGACATTTGTACCGTAAATTGCACAGCAGAAACTGAAGGTATTTATTGAGAAAAGGCCGCATTAAATCCCCTTGTATCTCGTTGGAGTGTGCCATTCGAATTTAGTTTTTGTGAAGGAAAGACCAGATTTGCACACGCCCTTGCAGCAAACAAACGAGTAAACTCTCACAACTTCAAAATAAAAAATTTGAATTTACCCACAATTACTTTCCTCGCAGTGTACTTAATGAAGAGAGGTAAATCTTCGCACATGAATGAACTGTCGATGAGAGTGAATAATATTTTCCGTTAGATCACTGACTGTTTTTGAAGAAAAAAATGTCGTGACAGTCCTTGCTAAACTAGTTCTGTTGTTTTTCAAATCTTCTTGCTGTTTTTTTTTTTTTTACGCGCTCTCTAATTGACAGGTGTCAGATTGTGACAGACACTTGTAAAAATAATGTTTCAAAGTTTGTTTGGAAGCCTTTTAAATCACCTCTATCATTTCGCAAATGAAAATGTTTCGGTGAGGAATTTTTCTTTAATTTGCATCATCTCCATTGTAACTACCATTTACTCGCTCAAAAATTGTTCAGTTTAAGGAAAATCTTGCCGTATTTACAGCCCTAAATAATTCAGGTTCTTTCGGAAAGAATTTCGTCAAGTTTAAAAAGAATAAATATGTTATTTACCAGCTAAGGGTCGGTCCATATGGTGAAAAACTGTGACCTCGGCCTTGAAAATGCTGCCCTCGGCCTACGGCCTCGGGCAGTATTTTCAAGACCTCGGTCACAGTTTTTCACCATACGGACCTCCCAGCCAGCAAATAACATATATTTATAAAGTGGGACAATTATAACAAAGTGCGAGAGTGGAATTTTTAATTTTTATTCGAAGTGACAAGTTGATTTCAGATAGTTCACAGACACTGGTAGATTTTAATTAACACACTTGCACGTACATGTGACTGAATCAGTCCCTCTTACGAAGGTATTTATATCTACCGCTTTCGACGAGGAGCTTCATCTGTTTGGTGGAGAGATGATGATATATTTCAAATCATGCAGATGAACAGATGGGATACTCGCACTTGATTCCGGTGGGCAAGATGTTAATTTCAATAAGGCAAATATTTTTATAGACGAGGCTCATAAATTAGTTTCTAAAAGGAAAAACAAAAATATTTTATTAACTCACCATCATGTGTAGTACTATCGCATAATGCCAATTTGATAGATCTATATTCACTTCTTGTCTTCCTTGTTGTTATCAGTAAAACAGCGCTTTGAACCGGGTGAAAATAGCCTCGATGCCAATGGTCTGTTCATGTCGGAAAAAAATATTCAGGTACCCACCTCAGGAAAAAGCGATCGACTTTTGAGACTTCTATAACATTCTACGTCATGCAAAAGATTATAACATTCGTTGAAAATTTGCAGCTGCCGCACATGTGCTGCTTCCAAGTCACGAGTCATCCTTGGATTACTGACGCTTTCTTACGGTAACGTGATAAATTGGGCGGTGAGTGGGATTCAATCTGGCAAAATGTTCTCAGCCCGGTCTATACGTCTTTCGCTGAGTAAGTACAAGCCTTATTACATCTCTTGGTTATGCGAGAAAGTGAACGATGAAACAGGGATCTGAGATATATCAGATAGATGCAAATATCATGCACCCCTCAGCCAAAACCGAGAAGCATAAAGCCAAGTGGCCCTCATGTAGCTCTCTTAAAATTTTCATGATTAGTTTCACTATGAAGACGATGAAAATAATAAAATTGTGGTTGGGTGCGTTCCGCAATGTTTATTTCAGTTTTACTCCAAGTTTATTTGCTAAAATTTTAATCTGGAGCTGAGCGGAAGTCTAACGGAAAAGTTTAATACTTCGGTTAGAATAGTCATCATAATATCGAGGGTGGAAATGATCAATTTAATATTCATTATCTTTGCAATAATGCTGTGTAATTTTAAATTAATTCGAACTATAAACAGCATTTTTCCGCTTCTTGTAGGAGTATTTTGTGATGCATTTTTCGACTGGCATCCTGTAAGCGTATGCATCTCCTTCATATCATTTGGCGTCTCATTTTCCTATTTATTAAATGATGCCTCAGAGGAAATTTGCAAAGAAAAGCTATGCAATGTTCTCATTCAATCGACCTGATTTTAGAGCTTAATATTATGGTGAAGATATTTTTAAAGCTTGATTTGGAAAATTAAAATATTTCAGGTGAAAAGGGAGCTTGGTTCTCAACATAAAAGAAAAATAATAATGACAATATTAAAAAAAACATACTGGTATCACAGTCAAAATACTGTGGCAGGGTATCGTTTTTTATCCCATTTTCAGGTTTACAGCAAGACTGGTAGAGAGAGTATGCCTAAATTCCTTATTTTGAAATGCTTATGTAAAGGATAGCAAAAGCTAAGCATGAGACCGGAAAATTCTTAAAAGTCTTTCAATTTTTATTGTTTCTGAGTTACTTGACATGGTTCGTGTTCACACAACATCATTAACTGTCTTATACACACATTCTACCATAACTGTTAAAATTCAATTGAATAAAAGAAAAATTATGTCAATTTAGAGCTCACTGAAATTCCTGCAGCAGCAGCCTGAAAAAGAAAAAAAAGGCAATGAGCCCTAAATCTCTCCACTTTCATTTTTGAACGCATTGGGTTCACACACGTTCCTAACCTATCATCCCCTCCAAATAATTTTCTCTCCTTATATCTCTTTTAGAGAATTGCTTCTTCTAATAGTCTAACTTTGTTTCCAGTAATGGTTATAAGCAATGTATGTTTTTATTTTCTCTTCTGTAGTTATCCTTATTTTGATGATGCAACTGCAAGGACAAGGTGAGCCAATGTCGATCCAATTTTATCATATATGTACAAGAATGTATGATTTCTGACTGCTTTCTTCAATACCGAAAAATTGATGCACAGATTATTAAGGGTGATGTTTTTAGGTGGAAAGAACTCCTAAATTCATCTGGCAACCTTAATAGTGGTATTTCGTGTATATCATTATGTGATCACTATCTGTAATATTTCCTAAATATA